GAACTCTGCAGCCACACTTGTCACACTGCAGCCTTCCTCCAACTTCCCAATTCGAGTAAAAGCATCCAGATGTCGACCTCGGGTAAAAGCATCCAGATGTCGTCTAACAGATTGATTATTCGCCATTTCTCGCTGAGGCAGCAACTCGGTGTGATTTTAACTGCTATACGGCGTGCAATCTCTTTTCGAGAAATACTGATCTTACACCGACAACAAGCTTTATACTACTCAGACACTCCCCCATTACGTCTACCTGCATATCTGCGCATGTGCTACCGTACATCACCTTACTTAATCTCCTGATTGGTCTTTCTGTCCGCTCTGCCTCTTCGTTCAGCTGATATGCTAATTTTTCGACTTCGTCCTTAATTTTTGCACACCAGTGTATTTCTTTATATTCGGTTCTCATATCGCACTCTGCAATGAAAAAAAATATTCTTAAAAAATTTTTAAACGCATTTAAATTGCGTCCTGCAACTTAAGTTTTGTTCGTTGGTGTTGTTAAACGTCTGGTAGTTTAATCTTTGTCCTGAACTTTGTGCTTTTGATTTACGTTTCCAACGTAGACTATTATGTTGATATATTACAGAAACACACACACACGCAAAACATTCATAAAGAAAATATGTAATCATTTCAAGAGTTTTCGCGCATTATGCCCCTGAAAATTGATCAGTAAATACATAACGAAAGAAATTTAGAACCAATTTTTCACAAAGATCAAAAATTGAAATTCAAATTAAAATTTGTTTGCTGTTTAGTTGATATTTCGACGTATCAGTAGCTTTGAGTTAAAAGTTTTTCTCCGAAATTCAAAATTTTATGCTTTATAGCATTAAATTCACCTTTTGGGAGATCGTTTTCTAGACTACGGTTTTTAGTTTTTGCCAAAGAGCCCAAATTGGGAAACCTAGGCGTCTCAGATTGTTTTCATTGTTTCGAACTGATGTATGAAAGAAAGTTCTCGCAACGTTTTGTGTAAAAAGCTTTACTATATTATAGATTATTCTCATTATTCATTGAAGGTATTCGATCTTTTCGACGTATTATGGGTAATTTTTCAATTTTAGGAAAGGTTTATTTTAAATTAGGGAAAAATGTTCACCAATAATTTTACTCTGTATTTTTGTCATTTTTTCTTTCTTTGAGGAGGACCAGAGGTTTCGGGCGAAATGTTAAGATTAAAAAATGTATTGGAATGGTTCATAATCTAATTATGGATACAGAAAAGCAAGGATTTTCTTATTAAAAAAGAGGAATTGTAATTGACAGGAATTTCTCTCCTTTCGTGTTTTTTTTTTTACTTTATTTGTTTTTGGTTTTTCTTGTAATGGTTTATTTAGTTTTCTCTCAACATATACAAAATTATAATTATATATTTACAGGATTTTTTTGAAATTTATTTATTTGAATTTAAATTGTTGGTGTTTTTGAAAAATGGTTCTAAGTTAATTTCTTTATGATTACATTGAGTAAATTGATGTATTATATATCACAAACTATACCTAATAACTCTCTTCTCAAGGACAAAATAGTAAAACATAATAGGAAAAAAACAGTTTTATGGAAATTACTTTGCTAAACATTTCGTATGCATAAAAGATTTAAAGGGGGCGAAAAGTTTTCCGCTTCATCTTCAGAATTGATGAATAAAAATATGTGATAATTAAATTTTTAATTTAAAAATACTACTTAATAATTACTTTTCCGATCTCTGCTGATAACATTTCGTAAGAACGAGGGCACTTTTCAGTCAGCACAGTGGTATAGCACTTCTGTGTGTTCTACCAGTGGAGTGAATTTACGGTAATGGAATTAAATGACAAAAAAAAACCTAATTTTAAAAGCAACCATGAGATACTTTTCCTCTTTAAAACTCATAAATGATAAATTTATGGAGCACTTTTGATAGAGAATTCTAAAATTTCTTACGAGTTCAAGAAAATATGAAAACTAAGCTTAAGGTTAGTTTTTTTTTTTTTTTTTCCATTAAACTCAATCGAACCCGAGACTCTGAACTTCATTCTATAGCTTATCCAAAAAAGCTCACGAAAATTTTATAATTAGGTATGAAGAAAAAAACGTGATTTGATACAGAAAAGAAGATTTTAAGGCATTTTAATGTTTCAGTAAACAATGTGATTAGTAAAAATTGTTTTGAATGTTATTTTTTGATTTTGGAGAAAAACAAATATTCATGTTTTCTCTTTACCTCATACATAACTTAAAAAATTAAAATAGAGATGCCTTCAAATTTTTTAGATATACTTTTAATGTATATATGAACTCGTAATTTTTCATTAATAAGCTTCTCATTTGTATAAGTTAATTCAACTATCAAATAAATTTCCCTAAAAATTTTTTTACAGAATTCTTTTACAGATTCTGTAGTCACTGTGGTGTCACAGTGCTATAATAATAATAATAATAGTGCATACCCCTGTTAATCTCATTGCAAACGCTATCAAGTTTATTATTTATTATACTGCTTACTTCTCACTTCTCAATAACTGTGTTTTGTAAATTTTGTGGTATCTTTCCTCTATTTTTAATGCTAAGAAATGAAAAAAAGTAATAAAAGCTTTATACTTTTAAATTTTTACTTGATTTTTCTGCCCAGTTTGATTAAAAAATAAAAACTTTAGTGTGGTATTATATTTATTAAAAGCATTCAAAGGTGGGCCTATCAACTGTTACTGATATTATCAATTTTAGTTTTTATCAATAGAACAGAATTTCGATTACACAGTCATTTTTGAATATTTTTGTCAGTGACTTTAATTTTCATAACAAGTCACTTTTGTAGATATTTTATCTCGACAAATGTTCCGCACTTCTTCGAAATTACGCACGCAGAACACGCTGACGTACACTGTTATTCTTGTTCCAGTTATTTAACAGAGCGTTTCCTCTTTGACTTCGTAGTTATTCTTTTTCCCCTTCCGACCCTGTCAAATCGTTTTATTCTTTTCACGGTGTTTTGAATTGCCTGGATTTGTTTTTCTCTCTGCGTAAGAAACAAACTTGGAATTGTAAATACAGTTTATTTAGATAATGTTTAGCGATATAACTTAGGGAAAAAGTTTCTGTACTTCCAGAAAATGTAGAAATACTACTAGATGATATTTTGAACTGATACAGAATCTCCATAATATTGTCAGATTCTTCCCATGTAATTTAGTATTTTTGCAAATAATTATTATTTATAGCTATGCACCTCATTTCACTATGAAAAATTATTAGTTAATTAATTTTTAAGTTTAACTAAAAGTTTATATTTGAAGTTTTGTTTTTTATTCTCTTAGTTCAGTAAACTCTCCAGATAAATATGTACAGAACATTTTAGAAGGTGTAATGCGTATCAAATTATACATATAATGAAGAGAGTACAGAGGTTTGCCTGTTATGAAATATTCCCGAGACAAATTAATAAATATAATTTAAAAAAATTATTTTAGAAGTTTTTTAATCTAAAAAGGGTTATGGAACAAATTTTATTATTTGTGATTTAAGCTGAACCTTTCAATCGATTTTTTAGAAATCTCAAAGTATACATTTGAGCACTAAGAAAATCAAACTTACCTTAACGAAAAAGTTAAAAACTGAATTGCACATTTAGGACATTATTTTATGAAATAAAATACGTAAGAAATTAATTTACATATTGCTATAGGTTCTACCGTAATAAAATGGCGCGATGGATTTTCATGCATCCAAAACAACTGCCCAAAGTAATTCTTTCGTAAACGATGAGGCATAAAAAATATAATGTCTTTTCTAGATAAATGAAGTTATTAATTACATATAAAATACTTTTTTTTTTCTTAAAACATACATTCAAATTCATTTTAATTTAATTTTAGTGTCATAATATCAAATCTCAAATAATTTTCATAATGATTGTCGTACATTCCGTTCAGCGCTTTTTAATGTTAAGAAATTTGCGATTAGAAATGGTTCGACATGTTAAATCAAAGACATGATTATTTCAATACAGTTGTAAATCTTTATATTTAATATTTCAATTTGGAATATAAATTTTAATAAAAATAATTTTGTCGTTAAAATTTAGTTATTCAATTGCTTCTTCTTTAATTAAGAACAATTTGTGATAATTTTAAAATAAATAGTTTGCAACATAATTAATACTACTATTATTTATCCCAGAATATTATAGAGTAAAATTTTAGAAAGACCTCTAGTTTTCCTGTAACATATTTTTATAGATACTTGACACTTTTTTAACATTCTCAATTTGCAAAGCCTTTCAGAATTAATTAAAATTGTAGATACACACGTATACATACATACTGCAATTAATTACATACTGCATAGTCCAATTAAGAATGGTTTAAAAATGCAATATTTGATATCAGAACCTAAAAAATACACCATTCGGACTCGAAATATAACTGAAATTTCACCTAATATTTGTAAGGTAAAATATTCTTAGATTAAAATTTCTGGGAATTCATCGCAATTTCCAAATTAAAATTCCTAAAAATATCTATTGAAATAATCATTCCAACATATAGTGGAATAGAAGGAATGAATGGATCGCTGTTTTTCCCTGTATATTTTAGAGGTCTATGTCATTTAGAACTGGGAAAAAGAATTTCATATTATCTAAAAAACTTTAAAGAGGTTTTTCATTAAAAGAAAAAAATGTTAAAATATTTGCTCTCACAGTTTAATTTTTAAGTAGACATCACAATACTATATAATTTTCTTTTATTTTTTATTTTGTTTCTCATTCTTTTTCGTTTCTTTTATTAACTGAATAGAAAATTATTGTCAGTATAATCTACATAGAATTAAATCACAGCTAAAATTTCTACAGATTTTTCGTACGTTTTTCTAATGCTTTATTTTTCCATATAATAATATGGAATTAGAGCCGTAAAGTAATTGGAGTTTTTGATCCATGAAAAGCTTATGAACCCCATACCATACTCAGACGTGTTTTTCCTTATTGGAAGGACAACAGATTTTACACTCACCCATATGAGGAGGTTAAACACCACCAACGTATTCCTGAGACAAGACATCCACGATTCTGTTGTCTCCGGCTTGTATATGACTTCTGGTCTAGGAAAAGAACCCAGTTTGCTTTTCTTTTTCACTCTAGCATAACCTTCCTCGCTGTCCTTTGCCGTCGCGTTTTCGATGTCGTAATCCCGCTTTGGCGGTTCTGGAGGCTTATCCTTCTCGGCTTTGCTCGAAACAGGCACGGATACGTCCTCCCTCTCTACGCCTCTGGTTGCGGATGACTTTTTATCTGTCACGGCAGGGGCTTTCTGCTGCATCTCAATAGTCTCTGTACTTGGTTCGCTATCTTTATCGTCACCCATCCTGTATCTATCTTAAAAGTACTTGATTGGGCCGATGGAACAGTACGCAGATGAAGAGACACCCCGAATTATTTGAAAAAAAGCAATTCAACTGATAACTTATTGAAGGTGCAGTCAAGACAGTGCAAAAAAAATACGCCCTATAAAAAGGACGAAGTGCGGAATTCGTTATCGGCTTGTAGCCCAGGTAACGTTGATAAAGTTGTCTAAGATTAGTGTGTTTGAGTAGTGAGTTTTTATTGCATGATAAAGTGCTTTGTAATTTTTGAATAAACAAATGGAAAAGGAACAAATAAATGAGTAATATATGCCGCAATGACCAAAACGAAACAACGCTGCAGTCGTTTCAAAAAGAATTTACAATGAAACATTTTACTTCAATCTCCTAGATAGAAATAGCTTTTGGAAGAGCAACATAAAGTAGAATATTTGTATACTTGATTTGGAATTTAAAATAGGTATTTTCTGGTGGCTCAGAATTTCAGAGACTGCCAGATGTTATTTGTTATTGTTTAAGCTCGAAACCGTTTCGTAAGAATAGAGCGAACACAAAAGATTAAGAAGCTCTCCTGATTTCATATAAGCTAGTATACCTCTCACTCAATAAAACAATTTTGCCATGGAAATTTTCGAATAAATCTTTTATCTCGTGACTTTACCTCCTTATTATATTTTGTCTGCACAATCTGATTTAGATCATGAATAATGCAAAAGACACAAAATAAATGTAAATGATGACTCAACGGTTTACAGCAAGCTCAAGCCATTTGCAAACCTATTTAAAATTTAATGATGCTTTATTGAGATTTTATTGATCTTAGACTTTATAAAAAAATTTTATGAATAAAAGAGATCCAAAGATATTTTGTTTCGTCTTTACAACTGATTTTCAATTAATCTGACAAGTACTTAATACAAAGAACTTAAGAAATGATTGTTAATGAAGGGGTGAAATATCTGAGTACAAACACAATTATGCCTGCATACTTTCAAAGAAAAAGAGAACTGGACATACTATTCCCATTATTTAAAAAGAACGCAACGAAACTCGAAGAAAATGTTTCGAAAAAGCAAGCAAAAGGCAAAGTTTGATGCTAAATTAGTTTCTAAAGAGCCAAGTGTACTTTTGAAGTAAAAAATTTTGTTTTGCACAAATTAAAAGATACAATTTTTAAACATTTCCAAGCTATGTTATGAATTTATTTTGGTTCCCGTTTATTACGCTGCGATTTTCATTGAATTCTTAATTGTTATAATTCTTTGTTGCTAAATCTCTATTTGAATTAATAAGTTTTTTTAAATAAATAAGCAATAATAAAGAAGACAAATATTAATTCTAGTTTTAGGGCTTTTTCATAACTTCGTCTTTTTTAATTCGGTAACGTATTATGATGGGCTGAAATATTATTAAGAATCTATTCTAACAAATATGCTAAGAATTAAATCCCAGCTATGCGAATGTAAAATGTAGTAAGTTATAAGGTATTTCTCCCGCCTTCTTAGCGTGCTTTCGTGGTGTGGTGGTCTGCACGCTGGGCACGTATTCCCAGAGGTCCGCGGTTCGATTCTCGGCGAAGGCGTTGCTAATTTTTTAAGTCTCCTGCTTCCAAAAAATATCTAATGTCTCTACAGTGGCACCCGAACTAAAAGGGGGGCGGATGATGATTCTCCCCACCCAGTATTTGACGATTAGGTCCCCTAAAAAACCCAGTCGCTCTTTAAAAGGGGGAGTGTCTAAGGTATTTCTACCGCCTTCTTAGCGTGCGTTCGTGGTGTGACGGTCTGCACGCTGGGCGCGCATTCCAGAGGTCTGAGGTTCGATTCCCGGCAAAGGCGTTGCTAATTTTTCCAAGTCTCCTGCTTCCAAAAAATACCTAGCGTTTCTACAATGTTACTTAAAGATTCTTAAAAAACTTCTATTTTTCTCAAAATTTACCGGATAAAATTCGTTAAAGATACATCTCGAGTTTGACGATAAAATAAATTTTTAATTTTCTGCTACAAGGTACAGGCTTTTGTTTCTTAAATATTAAACAAAATGGTGGACACTTTTGACATCTGTTTAAAAGCGTTTATCATCAATTGATTTACAAGATTAAATTTTGTAAGCTCTCTAAGCTGCGCGGGTGCCTTGCCGAGCATTTATTTTACAGGCTTTTAGGCACAGAGATGTTTATTTTTCGAGCACCTACGATCAGCTAAAAGAATGGAGTTTTGTGAAAGACAGAAGATAAAATATTTAAAAATTTAAGAAAAATGTTAATGTAAAATAAAACACAGTTATTTTTTTATTTTGGTTTAAATATGTATACGTATATGAATGTATCGTATAATCCACGCATATATAAATAAAATATTTGACGCGAACTGATATTCTTATAACTTTTTTTTTGTCACAATTGGTTTTTGTGATTGCAGCTCACATAGAAATTAGACGAAACTCTGTTGTAAGCTCTAAATATTACCTTTAACCATGGGAGCAAAAAAACTTATTTTTGATGACACGAAAGGTAAAAAAGTAAAAAGGTGTTGCTTCTTTTGTAGTTAAGAGTTTCATAATGCAAATTAGACCAATTTTTCAGAAGAATATCTTAGATTTTGTTAAAAGTATTAATATCATATTCCAGTCTTGAAATTTTAACTAAACGTTTAAAAGTCATATTTTTCGATACAACACTTGTAGAGCCGTTAGGATTTTTTGAAACAGGAGACATGAAAAATGTGCAATGTCCTCGCCGGGACTCTAACTCCCGGCTTTTCCAATACACGTCGAGTATGCTTTCAATTACGCCACGAATGCATGAGGAAAGGACAGAGAAAATATCTTATGTTCTCCCCTATTTAAAGGGCGAAACAGGAGACGTGTAAAATGTGCATTGCCCTCGCCGGGACTCGAATCCTGGACCTCTCGAATACACTTTGAGTGTGCTTCCAATTACACCGCAAATGCATGCGGAAAAAAAGAAAGAAAATACCTTGTAAACTTTTTAAAGTTATTCCATTTCCACTCTTATGTGTTTTTTCCCATACATGTAGTAAAAACCACATATTTCTTCAACATTTGTCAAAACGTTCCCTTTCACGAATCATAAGAGAAGTTGTGATAAGAAATGTCTGCTTAAAATTTTTTGTTTTATTTAAAATTCTAAGTCACTGCTGAAGCTTTGCATTATCTCTAAACTCAGTATTAAAAATTTATTATTATGCGTAATCGGATACAACGAAAACTTTAAACGTGAGATGGTTGTTCCATTTTTCTGTATTCTTTATGATTGTTCTAAAACCATTATGATTTGTTCTAAAACGCTGTATTAAGTTCTGACATAAATTAACAAAACAAATCACTATTCCTTTCATATGTAGAAGTTCTATCTACATATCTGAATCATGGTGTTGTATTTTCTGATATATCTTCTATATAACCACTCCAAATAACAACAGGAGAGAATTCATTCTACCAATTGTTGTACAGTATATTGGCTGGCCTCAAAATTAGCAATTCGGGATAAATAAACTACGTCGAAAGATAACATTATTAGTCTGTTTAATCAAAGCAATGCCTATTTTATTCATTTATAATAGCAGCCTCGGGGTAAAATTTAATTGAAAGTAATTACAATAATCATATATGCTATCTGTTAAAGGAGTACGTAATAAATCTTTCGCTGACGCTAAATTTACTGTGTAAGTGGAAATTTAAAATAAAAGGTCTTTTATATTGGTTAAGTCAGATTAAATAAGAGATTTCCTAGAAAATTACGAAAACTTCGGCTTTGGAAACCTTCGCCCTGTGGAAATTTTGAAAAATGACTTTTCTTACAATGCTTTCAAAAGTTCATCAAATGCTGTCATCATACTAGTTGCACATTCTTTCTTCTCTCATATTTATTAAAAGATGCTAACAGATTTATAATTTTTATTTCACATGATAATGCCTGAGATTTATATACCAATATAACAGGAAAAAATTGTAAGAAACTCGGAAGAAATCAATATTTAAAGCTTAATTTTTTGTATTTACAAATACACAATTTTCTTTGAAATTTTTGAAAATGTGAGTATAATACATATCATATTAATGATCATAAATAATTATCCATATGCATATACACAAAAAAGCTTTAATGCATAATTGTTAAAGAAATATTATTACGAATTATGAATACTATAATTATAAAATATTAAATATTTACAAAGTATTGATGATTAATTAAATAAAAGTTTCATAGTATTCTGCATAAATAATAATTTTAATGAAATAAGTATTATATAAGGATGTAATTAATAACTAACTTCTAGTCACTTAACCATACACCTAATAAATGAGAAAACTTAAGTAATTAAATTTTATGTTACGAATTCACTTTTGCAACCATTGGCTCTGATGTACAGTTTTCTGTTTTGTAAATTTCTATAGACTTTTTAATGGAGTGTTTTGCATATACTGATACGAATATTGTTCGAAATCCACTCTAATAAAACGTGAACAATAAATATTCATAAAACTAACAGCAAATCTTCAGAAAGAAATATGTTTACATCTTTTGAATTTTTTAGCAACAGTATCGTCAAAAAGAAAATTAATTACATATCATATATTATATTAATATATGATATGTATATATATGATATGTAATATTACAACTCGGCCATATATTATATTAATAATAACAACTGCTATAATACAGCAGTTGTTATTATTAATATAATATATGGCCGAGTTTCATTCTTGTTAACAGACTCATGACATAAATGAAAAGTGAAAATATTTCTTTTCTTAAAATGGCAATATTCTTTATTTGAATCAAAGCCAAGGAGAGAATTTTTTTTTTTTTTTTCAAAATTATAAAATAATTTTTATGCTTTTTTTTTATAGTCGTACTAAAATAGTACATTACTTAAATCTGAACTAGAGCAGCTTCAAAAAACTATGTATGTTGAGACTACTCGTATATGGCTATTATCAAGAGTATTTCGTTTTACATGCAGCAGTATTCCTTATTCCCCTTCTGCGCAAACCACAGCTGAAAGTATTGTGATACGACAAATGATTGCACAATGATAAATAATTAAAGATGCGC